AGACCAACGCGGTGAGTTTTCGCGCCGCCAGGCTCTGGGTGGCCTGCAGAGCGGCAATGCTCTCGGCGAACGTGGCGACCTCCGCGCTGAGGTCTCCGCGGCGCAGCTGCAGCTCCGCGAGCATCGCGAAGTACTGCAACAGCAGTACGATGTCGAGACTCTCGGCGCGCTCGGCGAGCGCTGCGCAAGCCGGCAACAGGTACGTGGCGCGCAGCGCGTCGGATTGTTTGATACATTGGAACAGCGCGGCGAGCGCGTCGGGAGCGATCGTGTCGAACACCGAGCGGTGCACTACGGGGAACGCGGTCGTGTCGGTTGCAAGCTGTGCGCGGTACTGCTCGTGTTGCAGCAGCGTAGCCCAAAGCGTGAACACGAACAGATACGTGTTTGAGTGTTCTCCGTCCGACATGCGCGCCGCTTGCGCGGCGAGCGCGTCGAGGCAGCGCGCGTCCAACTCAACGCAGCGCGCGCAGAATGCGCCATAGCTCGCGATGAACTGCTTAGACTGCAAACTTGGCAGCGCGACGTCGAAGACCGCCTCAAGTGTCTCGAACGCGGTCGCGGGCAAGAGGCACGTTTGCAGCACGCCGAGTTTGGCGACGGCGAGCGCGGTGCTGTCGTTGTAGAGCGGCAAGAAAGCCTCGCGGCAGCGCGCGTTCGCGCAGTCCGCGGCGCGCAGCAAGCGCAAGTCGAGCAGCACCGCGACGAAGCGACAAACGAGGACGGCGGCTTCGGACGCTTTGAGTTCGAGCGTTGAGCTCGCGGAAGTCAGGAAGCGAAGGAGCAACGAGCGCGTCGCAGGAAGCGCCTGCCAGTCTACGCCGGTCGGTTCGTAGTAGTTCCGCAGCAGGGCGAGCATGCAGTACGTGCCGACGAGCAGCAACGAAGGCGTCGAGTTCTGCAGGTGCACATCGAGCGCGTCAAACAGCTTGTAGAGCTGCTTCTCGTGCTCTGCCACGAATGTGGAGATCGACATCAGCGCCATACCCAGGAAGTGCTTGCCGCACTGCGGCAGTGCCTTGCAGATGCGACCGAGCTCGGGTTTTTCCAGCGCGAACTGCGGGTCGACGCGCTTGAGCACTAGCGCGAGCCTCACCAGCGCGTCAACGTCCGCGTTTTCGCGTCGCAGTGCGGAGCGCAGATGTGGCGCGAAGCGTTGCGGCTCGCGCGCGTTCAGCGTGCAGAGCACCGCTGTCTGCTGCACGTAGTTGCTTGAGTCGCTCAACGCGTCTTCAAGCACGCGGGCTTCGATCTCTGCGTCAATGAACCGGAGACCGAGCAATGCGCGCAGCGCCCACGCGCGCACCAGCGGATTCGCGGCGCGCAAGTCCTTCACGTAGCTGTTGATCAGCAGCACGTGTTCGGCTTCGTTGTCGCACACGAAGCGGCAGAAGAAGCTTGCGAGCATCTTCTTCTGCAACAAGTCGTCGGTCACGGACTGCTTGATCAAGTCCATGAACAGCGCGCTGAGGTCCAGCCCCTTCGCCGCGTAGCGACTTAGCCGCCGCAGACAGTTGCGGCGTCTCTCGCGGTTCAGCGCGCTGTTGTCCTTCGGCATGCCGGCGATCAAACTGCGCATTTCCTCAAGTTCCGAGTTGTAGCGACCGCAGAACACGTGCGCGCAAGCGCTTGGAATCGCGGGCATCTTGGCGATCTGCCGGTCTTCGCGATTATTTTGCCGTAAATTGCAATTTTTTGAGCATATAGCCGGCTGGGCTGCGCGGGTTCAGCACGCGCACTTCGGCGGCGCCGCAGATTACCTCGCGCCCGTCGGCAGGGATCAGCACTGTCACTTGGCGGCCCTCGATCGCGCGGATCTGACCTTCGAGCCCTTTCTGCTTGCCTTGCAGCAGCACGACCGGCTCGCCCATGATCTTTTGCAGCTTCGCGAGACTCATCGGACGGCCCGGGTCGGTCCCGGCGGATTTCGCGGCGTTTCCGTCGGCTTGCGCGACCACGCGCAGGCTCAGCGAAGGCACGCACAAGTAGCCATTGTGCTCGAGCACTTCCGCCGCATACAGAAACGCGTGGTCGTTATGCACGAAGAGCAGTTTGACCTGCACGCCCGTGTACGGCCCGCTGACGACTTCGACCTGCGCGTTGAGCGTGATCAAATGATTTTCGGAGTCGACACTCGTGTACTCCGCGGCGTTCTTGATTGGCGTCAGCGCGTCCGCGCTGTGGAAAGCCGGGCCGTCGGGCAGCAGCACCTCGACTTGCCGCGTGCGCAGAATGCGACAGACGACGCCCGCGGCTTGCGAGCTGCTGATCAGCACAGGCGTCCCGAGCGAGAACATTTCGAGCCGCAGTAGCTCGGACTGCGCGCCGTCTTGCACGTTGAGCACCAGATCTTCGCTTGGTGCAGTCCACTGCGTGTACAGCTCCGTGTCGAGCAGCGAGACTTCCGAGCCGCCTGCGTCGATGACGAGGCCTGTGCGGCCGCTATGCGGCCCTGCAATGCATAGCAGCGAGTCGCCCGACTTAAACACCTTTGCGACGTACGCAGCGTCTACGAGCACGTTCTCGCCGTCCTCGAGCAACAGCTCCAGCGCGTTGCTGGCCGACACTTTCGAGACCACGCCTTCCAGCTGCGCTAGGTCGCCCTTGACGATGCGCACGAGCTGCCCCACGGCAAACTTGGAGGTCACACTGCAGCAGCGCTGCACCACCGCGCCGACAAACTGATCCAGGTTCGGAACCGCTGCTTCGAATGCTGCGAGCTCTGACTTGCTCGGCAAGTCTTCTTTGAACGCGTTCATCCGCAGCGCCTTCAGCACGAACCCGGACTCGCACTCGATCAGCTGGTCGAGAGCCGTCACGGCTTCCGTGAAGCTGTTTGCGTACGCGTACGGTATGTCCATTTTCTGCAAGAAGGAGAGCGGCAGTAACTTCTTCACCTTTTTACTGGACTTCTCAATTCGGTCGCGATTCACCTTGAGCGAATGCTGCAGGGCGATGGGCACGAGACGCAACCACACCAGCTGCTTTGCGCTGTCGAGAAAAGACACGAGTCCAATTTGGTTGGCGTACGCGCCGCGCAGCACGCGCACCCAAGTGCCGATGTCCGGCGCGCGCGCCTCGCTGTGGCGCTCAGACAAAATCTCGCGCATGTTCGCGGATTCGACTACGGCCAGCGAACTCGCGATCACGTTTGGCACGTCCGCGATAAAGTCCGCGACGACGCACTTGTCGTCGCACTCCACGTAAATGCGTTTGTCGTTGCTGAAGCCGGTGAACACCGAGTGAATCGAAAAGCGAGCCTTCTCTTCAGCTGGTAGCGCTTCGTACTTCTTCCACATTTCGTAACATACGTCCGTCGCCGAGCCAATCGCGCGAAACCGCCACAACTTCAGGTTTTCAGTGAGAAGCGCGAAGCTGCCTTCCTCGTACAAGCCCGTGTCGTTTTCAGACGCGGATTCTGCGAAAGACTCCTCACTGGCTTGCTCGACATTCGTCCGGTTTTCGTTGCTCTTGACGTAGCGGTTCTCAAGCTCGCCTAGCTTGCGCCTGAAGTCGTCCACATACGTTTCGGACTTGCTGAACGCGGAGTTGGAAGCCGTGTAATAAGATTGATCGCCGTCTTCGATCTCCGCGTCGTTAATCAAGTTCTCGACGTAGTTCTCGCTCTCGCCGTCACTGCTGCCTTCCTCGTTCTCGATCGCCTCGACTTCCAGAAACTGCGAAATGACTTTCTTCCGACGCTTGCGCTTGTCCAGCAGCTCTTCGAAGTCATCCTCCGAGTCGAAGAGCTCCGATCGAAAGTTGTCGGCCATTCGCGCGTACTGCAGAGCAGCAACAAGCCAATATTAATTAAGAAAATGCCATGCAACGCGAGCAGCTGATCCGGCGCCGACGCTACGGCTATTCAAGCAGCGTTCGCAAGAGTTGCTTCCTGGCCTTCTTTTTCGCGCGAATGCGGCCCGTTTTAGCGTCTAGCTTGCCGACGCTCAATTGCTCCAGATCTGGGCTAATGACGCGGCCGACCTCGAAAAAGCCTTCGGACTGTCGCGCCAGCTCGAACTCCTTTTTCGCTCCGCGGTAGTGGCGAGTTGGGTTCAGCGCGGCGCGCAGGTTCAGCGCTTCGAGTTCGAGGCGAACGTTGTCGTCAATGCGCTGCTTGCGCATGCCGTGGAACCGTGACAGCTGGGTGCTTCGCTGCTTGCGTGCGATTGCGCGCGCGATACGCTTGTTCAGGTACGGTAGGCGCTGGAGCGGGTGCGCAGCGTAGTCCGACGGCGTTGAGAAGACGTCGCAGCGCGCGGCCTCGGATACCGCGCTGCGCAGCTCGCCTTGTGCTGCGAACGACGGCACGCTGGCCGAGGCGGCAGCCGCTGCGTCGCCGAGTCTTTGGCCCACTCGGATTCGCGCTGTTTCGCTGTGTGCGAGCGCAGGGTTTTTCAGAGCGCTTTGTGGCGCGCTTTGCGGCGCGCTTTGTGGCGTGATTTGTGGCGCGGACGCCGCTACATCTTCCAGAAAGTCGTTGTTGCACTCGGAAGCGGTCGCAGCGTGCGCAGCCGAAGCGAAGTTCGGTCTGACGTTTTGCGGTATGCGTAGCTTCGCGTTGATTTGCGTCGCTACGTCCCCCAGCACGGCTGGGTTCGCGAGCGCCGGCATTGGCGCGAAGTTGCCGGGCGCAAGCTTCAAGTCGAGAAACGCTGGCGCAGCTCCGCGTTCAGCCATTGCGAAGTGCGCGATGCAGGACTGGTCTGCACTTATAACGTTTGATTTGCAAGCGCTGAGCAGCGCATCGAACGTGGCAGTTTGGAATGCAGCGTCTGTGAGAAGCTGTGGATGCGCGTCGACCAGTTCTTGAGCCAGTCGGTCAGAGTATTCTACGAAAACTTCAGGCGCAACTGCAAAGTTTATGTGCTTTAAAATGCTCATGACAAAGCTCGGCGGAGGATGCGCACACTCGACGCAGCCGCTACTAAAGAGATCTGCAATATCAGCAATTATTAGCGCCGTATTTGATTTCGCATAAAATTTGGAGCAGCACAGCAATGGTGGAAACGTACGACGATCTGAAAAAGACACTGGCGAAGAAGCTGGACGTGCCGGCGGGCTCGCAGGTGGTGACAAGGTTCGCGCCCGAACCGAGCGGATATCTGCACATCGGCCACATCAAAGCGGTGATGCTCAACCAGTTCTTTGTCCGCTACTACGGCGGTCGGCTGATTTTGCGCTTTGACGACACAAACCCTTCGCGCGAAAGCGAAGAGTTTGAGAAGTCGATAATCGAGGACCTGCGCGCAATCGGCGTGCATTACGACGAGCTGACCTATTCGTCCGATTACTTCGACCGACTGCACGACGCCATGCTCGAACTGATTCGCGCAGGCAAGGCTTTCTGCGACGATACTTCGGCGGCCGACATGAAGGAGGACCGACAAGCGCGGCGCGCGTCGGCCCACCGCGAAAAGAGCGTGGAGCAGAACTTGGCCGACTTCGCAGAAATCTGCGCGGGCTCGGAGCGTGGGCAGAAGCTTTGCGTGCGCGGCAAGATCGACTTTGCGGCTGCAAACGGCGCGATGCGCGACCCAGTGTTCTGGCGCGTAAACCTCGACCCGCACCAGCGCACGGGAACGAAGTACAAGAGCTATGCGACGTACGACTTTGCCTGCCCGCTGATTGACTCGTGGAGCGGCGTCACGCACGCGCTGCGCGCTAACGAGTACGCGGACCGCATTCCGCTCTACTTCTGGGTGCAGCAGGCGCTCGGCGTGCGGCCGACAAAGTTGTTCGAGTTCAGCCGGCTGAATTTGACCAACACGGTGCTCAGCAAACGCAAGCTGAACTTTCTCGTCGACAACCAGTATGTCGAGGGCTGGCACGACCCGCGCTTTCCGACGGTCCGCGGCATGTTGCGCCGCGGCCTGCTGCCCGCGGCGCTCGAGCAGTTCATGGTCGAGCAGGGCCCCAGCAAGAACACGAACCTGATGGAGTGGGACAAGATTTGGTCGCTAAACAGCCGTCTGCTCGACGCGCAGGCGCCGCGACTGTTCGCGGTGCCGCAAGACGCGGCGGTGCTCGAGTTCGAGCTAATGGACGGCGACTCGCGCGTACTCAAGAGTCGGCTGTTGCACCCGAAAAACCCGTGCAGCGGGTCCATTGACACGGTCCTCACGAAAGCTGTTTGGCTGGACCGCTCCGACGCGGCGGCGCTGTCCGAGGGCGAAGAAGTTACATTGATGTCGATGGGCAACGTGGTGATCACCGCGCTGCCCACACCGGGCCAGACGCCGCAAGTGTGGAAGGCGCGGCTAAACTTGGACGGCGACTTCAAGTCCACGAAGAAAAAGTTGCACTGGCTCTCAGCGACGGAGCCCGCAACGCGAGTCGTCTTCTACGAGTTCGACCACCTGATCACGAAGCAAAAGCCTGAGGAGAGCGACGAGCTGCTCGACATTTTGAACAAAGAAAGCAAATTTAGGACGGCGTTCCGCGCCGAAAGCGCGCTGCAAGCGCGCAAGCTCGGCGACTTTGTGCAGTTCGTCCGTATCGGCTTCGTGCGCGTGGACGCGATCGACAAAGACGGCACGTACCACGTCATTTTCGTCCCTTCTGGGAAGACTAAGTCGATGAGCGTCGTCAACCTGAAGGTCGACCCGAAAGTGCTGGCGCAAGGGTCCGGCAAGTCGCAGCAACAAGTGTCCAAGAAGCAGCTGAAGAAGCTCGCGTGGGAGCAGAAGAAGGCAGCGGAGAAGGCAGCGGATACGTCCGAGGAGAAGTCTGCCGCGCAGTCCGGCTGAGCGCTAGAACTTGATGCCGGTGCGGCGCATGACGGTGTGCGTAGCGGGGTGCCGCTGCACAATCTTCACAAAGAAGTCTGTCAACTCTTTGTCTTCGTGCAGCAAATTCGGTTCCTGCGGTGCGTATTTTTTGTACTTACTTTCAGCAGCTTGATGAAGTCGACTCCGTTCTCGCCGCAATCCTGAATGAACTCGTAGAAGCCCGGCATGCGGTAGAACTGCTGCACGAGCGGGTCTGACTCGTCGATGTCGAGTCGCGCGGGCTTCGTTAGTGCTGCATGCGCTTCCGTCCGCGGCAACTCCTTCTGCGGGGCGGCGTCGAACGCGTAAGCCGTCTGCTGCAACTCGTAGAGCGGCACTGAGCCGCTCCCGCGCGCGGGCGCAGCGTTTCGGTCTCCGACATCGCGGAGCACCGGCGCGCTGTGGAGTGGAGAGTGCTCGCGACCGGTTGCTGCACCGGTCGCACGGTCTGCGGGGAGCGTAGCGCTGCCGGCGGGCGCGTCGCGCGTCGGCAAGTCGTTCTCCTCGAGCGGATTGTGTCCCGACGCCGCAGCGGGGAGCTGTGGCGCAGAGCTAGCTGCACTTGCCGGCTCGAACGATCTAGAGCTCGTGTGCGGCGCGACGGTAGGCGGCTCGACGCGAAGTGCCTGTGCGTCGCAGCGGAAGTTCGCGGCAAAAGGATTGGTTGCACCGCGGTTCGCGCAGGCGCGTTCGGGCAAGCTGTCGAGCTGCAGTGCAGCGAGCACATCGCTGAAGCGCGGTGGCAAGCCGGTCGCGCTTCGGACGGTCATGCAGTCGAGCCGCGGGAACTCTGGATTGCTTGCGGCGCCGACGGCGGCACAGAGCTCGCGCAGCGTCTCGGTTAGCGCTTGCGCGGCGCGATTCGTGTCGCTCGCCGCTTGCGCCTGTTCAATCTTGGCGGCGAGGTCGGCCAGCGAGAATTCGGGACGACATGCGGCGAGCAGAGCTAAAAAGGACGAATTGCGGTCGAGCGCAAAGATCGGCAGCTGCTCGACGAGCGCGTCGCTCAGCGGCGAGGCGCTGAACTTCTTGAGCACCTCGACGGGGCGCTGCGCCAAGCCGAACAGCAAGTCGAACAGCAGCAACTCGTCTAGGCAACAGAGCTGCAAAAGCTGCGCGCGGTCGCGCGCGGCGGCGTCCGCAGGCCACATCTCGCCGACGAGCGCGCAGCTGCGAAGCACGTATGCGTTAAGTGTTTTCACGATTCCAACGAGCGTCAAGCCGCCTAGCGCAGATCCGCTTTGGCGACGCAACCCCAGCAGGGCGCGCACTACTAGCGTGACGCAGTCCAGCTGCGGGCGCTCGGTCAGACAGGAGCGCAACACGAGTTCCAGCGCGCCACTGGCGAAGTTCACGAAGTCTGCGCAAATCTGTCCTTCCAGCGCGTCGAGCAGCTGAACGACTAGCCAGAGGTTGCGACGCAGATGCTGCGCGAATTGCGTGCGGGCCGCGGCGCCGAGCTCGCTCAGTTCTGGTTCACGCGCGCAGAGCCGCTTCAGGCGCAGCAACAGCACGTCCGCAACTGGAACCGGATGCATGCGTCGGGTGATGCGCAGACACTGCGCGACGAGCGCCTCGCAGTTGGAAAGCGCGAGTGTGCGCACCAGGTTGTTGACCATAAGCGCGAGCGACTCGGACTCCAGCTGCGTGTTGTGCAGCAGCGTGAAAAACTCGATGGACAAGCTTTTCTGGTACGGCGCCCACAGCAGTTGGTCGACTTCAGCGACGGTCAGCACGTCCTTGTCGAGGACGTCGGTAGCGCTCCGCGTGACGGGCGGGCTCAACGCAGTCTGCAGGTCCGCGCAGCAGAACATTTTGACGTTCGAGAGCAAGTCGGGCGAGCTGTAATTGCTCATCCGAATCGTCATCGTCAGCTGCGCGCGCGGCGCTTCGCTGGCAGCAGTGCCTGCGGGCTGCGACGCCGCGCAAGGCAGCGTCACGTCGGCGCAGCGCAGCGGCTCGGCGAAGAGCATTGTTTTGCGCGCCGTCTGACTGAGTTGGTGAAATGAACTAACGCCGCTGATGAGCGGTGGCGGCTGCTGCGCGACGAGTAACGAGAAGCCGATGCCCTGGAAACTTGCGCGCAGCTTCTCGAGCAGCACAGTGTTGTCGAGCAGGTCGTACGCGACGCGCTGCGCCGCTTCGTCAAACGCAGAGTACCGTGCGACCAGACCGAAGAAGTACAGAGCGACGGCCGAGGAGCCCTTGTGCAAGTAGCTCGATAAGAAGCTGTGGGCCGCGCGAGCGACTGTGGTGGACCGCCGGAGCGTACCTAGCCGCAGCAGCGCCAGCGCAGTTTGCAGCAACTCGAAGTGAATGACGTTGTGCTCGATCCAGAGCAGTTCGTCGAGTGCCGCGAACACGGTCGCGATTAGCTGTTCCGCGTAGTGGCTGGCCGCGAGCAGCTCGGGCCCGCGCAGCTGCGCAAAGTCCTCCAAGTCGCAGTTAGCGCTGAGACACGCGTCGCCGCGCTCCGTGCACGCGAGAACAAGCAGCCCGAACGCGTACACGAGCGACTGGTAGTACCAGTTCAACACGTGCTCGAAACAGAAATCATCGTCGAACGCCGCGTCGACGTGCAGCTCGGAAAGGTGCCAACCCGCGGGCGCGCCCATCGCGCCGGTCCGGTTGCTTTGCAGCGCCAGACTGCACGTTCGGCGCACCAACGCAGCGCTGTGCTGCACAACTAAATTTGCTAGCGCGAGGACGTACGCCGCGTCCGCGAAACTGCAGGCCGACGCGGCGGCGGGCTCGCCGCAGTCCAGCGTGTTGACCAGCAGAAAAACGTTGGGCAGTTCGAGCGCGTGCTCGCGCGAGCCACAGCTGATTTGGCGCACGCGCGCGGCGACGAACTCGTTGAGCTGCAAGTCGTTGCTGAGGCCGCAGGCTTTGCGCGTGAACGGCGGAATGCGACTCGCGATGCTGAATTGCAGCGCGCTGTGCGCGAAAAGTTCGGTGCAAAAGTCGTTGAGCTCGCTGCTGCTCAGTGTACCAGCTGCGAAGCGGCAGCAAAAGTTTTTGTGCGAGACTGGCATGTTGGAAAGCGTGGCCCACAGCTCTGCGTTCTGCACCAGCGCGGTAATGACGTGGTTCGCGGGCGCGCTCAAACTAGCGATGAAGTACTGCTTGAAGAACGGCGCAGGAAAAGTGACCTTCAGCGACCGCGCAGGCAAGAGCAACTCCAGCAGATACCAAGCCAACGCAAGCCGCGCCTCCGCGCAGGACACAAACTCGGCGATCGAAAGGGGGTCGTGCGCGCGCGCCCGCATTGCGCAGAGCGCCTCGAACGACCGCGCAAGCGGCGCGGCGACGCCGGCGCTCGCAGCCGTGAGTGTGGCGTCTGAAAGAAACAGCGTTGCGTACGGGACGGCGCAGCAGAGCTCGTGCAGCTGCGCGGCAATCGCGCGGCGCTCTTCGCCGGTGACCTCCGCGAAGAGCTGGTCAAGAAACGCTGAGTCGCGCAGCGCGTTCCACGTTGAGAACGGGAAGGCGCCGACGCCGAGATTAACCAAGCGCATCGCGCGTTGGTCGTCGAGCAGCTGCGTGTAGTTGTGCAAGCTGCTGGCGAGCGCGATCGACGGGTTGAAAGCGACATGGTGGCCTTCGAAGTCGAAGCTCGCGTCCTTCGCGCCGCCCGCCGCGTAGCCTGCCGCGCCGGTCGCGGCACCGTGCGCCTCGTCTGTGCAGCAGCAACACAGCCGCAGCAGAGCAAGAGCGTGTGTGATGTGTGCGGCGTCGCGGCGCGGGCTGGCCAGCGTTACGCAGGTGAGCAGCTGCAGCACCAATCCGCTTAGCCGCACCAGCAAGTGCTCGGGCAACGCGAAAAAAACTTCGTCGCTCGCCGCGGCGGCGAAGTACTGCAGCAGAAAGGTCAATGTAGTTTTAGAGCAGTGCCCGAAGATGAACGCGCACTCGAGAATGTTGAACGCCGCAACGCGCGTCTCGGCGAAGCAGTCGAGCTGCAGAAACTGCAGCGCGAGCTGCACTGAAAACTCGCGGAACGCGGGAAGCGTCGCGGCGCTCGCGGACGTCATTAAAACCGAAACGAAGTTGAAAAACGCCGCGAATTCATCGGTCAAGTCGACCTCTTGGACTCTCAGCGTCTTGTTTTGCGCGCAGATGCGTGCGGCTATCTCCTGCAGCAGTTCGGTCATTTTCTCAGACTGCACCCAGCGGTACAGCAGCGCAATCGCGCCGTTGCCTGCGTCGAACTCCGTGACCTTCACCGAAACGAGTTTGGCGAGCAGCGAGACCACGAATTGGTGCAGCTTACCGACAGCGCTCACGCTGAACTCGCCGGCTTGCACGAAGTCCTTCAGCAGGATGAAGAAGTCTGGGTTATAGCAGTTGTCGTCTGTGCAAGAGAACGGGTAGCTCGACTGCGAGCGCACCGCAGCGGGCGGTTGCCCATCAGTCGGTATCGCAGATGCGCAGGGCTTCGCAACCGCGGGCGCCGTGTCGTTCTGCGGCGCGGAGACGCGCCGCACGAAAGCAAGTTCCAAACCCGTGACAGGCGTGCGTAAGCCGCTGTGTCGGAAACGTGCGAAAGTCTGAGCGAACCGCGCTAGCAACTCCGGCCCGTTGGCGCTCGCCGCGCCGCAAACCTCGCAGCTAAGCGAGCCGAAGAAGCCAGCGATCAGCAACTTCCGACCCTCCACGCAAGTGGCGGCATCTGCACGCTGTGGCGGGCGAAACGTAACAGTGCCGGCCTCAGCGGGGCCGGCGCACAGAGGCACCAAGGTGTGCAGCGTGAACGCGCTGGGCTCGCCGCCGAGCGGGACGCACAGGTTTTCACACCAAACGGCCGCCCGCGCGGGCTCAGCGGCTGCGGTCGGGGCTTGCAGACGCACGACACTAATACGCGCGACGTTGTCAAGCTCGACGACGAACACGCTGAACTCCGAGGCGTGCGCGGCGTTGTCGATCGAAAAGCTTTCGACTGCGAGCAAGTCGGCGCGCGCAGGCATGAGTGTAGGCGCAAGCAAGAGCTCCGCTGGCTGCGGTGAGGACCCACGCATGTGACTGGTTGGCGCTCTAGGGGAGTGTCATTCTCGGAAAATTAGAAAGCGCAATAATTCTGCGGAATTTGGCGCAGCGCAGCGGTTTTCTGCGGAAAATTTCCGCATGAATCCGCTGCTGCAGATCGAAGTGCAGACCCTTTTCGATGAGGTGCAGAACGGAGACGCGCTGCTCAAGACCGACTGCAGAGCCCTGCTTCAGCGTATGTTGTTCGCGCTGCAGTGTAGGCCTGGCGCTGCTCGACGAAGTGAGCAAGGTGATCAACAACCATGAAACTACGACGGTGCGCGGGCTGTACTACCGACTCGCGACGCATTTCGCTTCGCAGCGCCAGTTTGAGAGCCACTTAGTGGGTAAGTCGAGTCGCGCCGTTCGCAGCGCTGCTCGCGAAGCTGCGTTACGAGCGCAACCTCGAGTCGGGCATCATCGCCAGCCCGAAGGGGCTGTACTTTTCGGCACACTTTGGAGAACAGCTGGTGTGCGCCCACATGCTCGCACAGCTGCGCAACGCAGACTTTCTGCAGGGCGTGTCGACTGTTCTGATCGTGGAGAAGCACTGTAAGTAGCTCGCGTTTAGAGCAGCGCTGTTTACTACGCTGAAGCCCTGGGCCGCTGCGCTGGGCAACACGCTGTTGCTGACTGGTCGCGGATTCGCTGACAAACTGACCTTGCGCGTTGCTAGCACGATCGCGTGCTCGTTCCCGCAGCTGCGCTGCTGGTACCTCGGCGACCACGACCCGCATGGTTACCTAATCTACCTGCAGTACCTACAGGATATGCGCGAGGCCGCGCGCGCTCCCGAGCTGGCACTGCGGCTGGCTCAGCAGATCGCGCCCGCCGCAAACGACGTGCTGCCGCTTACGCGGCGCGACAGTGCCATTCTTGGCACCCTCGCTAAGCGAGTTGCGAGCTTTGCGGAGGACGAGACACTAGCGTGGACAAACAAAGAAAAAGTTATTGAGAAGTTGCGGACTGCAGTAGAGGTGTTGCAAACGAAATTCGAGATCGACGTAAGTGCAGGTAGATCCGCTGTAGACTTTGGCAACGCGCGAGGACTTCTTTGCGCTGCTCACGACTTCCCTTGCCGCAGACTGAGCGGCGCGATCACGCGGCGCAACTACGCGGCGTTGATCTGCTGCTGCCAGTACTGTTGCGCATCGGCCATGCTCGTGAATTTCTCATCTGCGTTGAAGATCGTGTAGTTCGTTGGAAACGAGTATTCTTTTTCGTAAGACGGCGACTTTTCGATGCTCAGGAACCTGCGCAGTTTGCGCGCGAAGTTCATTTTACTCTGCGGGACCGGTGTTCCGCGGCTGGCTTCTGCAAGGCGCTCGTAGAGATTTTGCGGCATGAACACGCCTTTGTAGTAGAAGCAGTTTTTCAATTGCTCGAGCGCGGCGAGCTCTTCCAGCTCGCTGTTTACATCCACCATCGGAATCGGCCACCACATCGAACCCACGAGCCGCATGTAGTCAGGCACATTGTGGTGGTTCGGATTTACGATGCCGTGCGGGAGCGCGATTTTGTGTGTGAGGCAGTGCGCGAGCTGGATGCCCTGCTCGTCGAGCAGCGGCAAGTTGAGCTTGACGCTCGAATAGCGCAGGCTGGAGGCCGAGCGCCGCGACGCTGCGGCCGCAGTTTGCGGCGCGTTTTGCTTCTTTTCGCTAGACCGCTGCGACTCGATGCCGACGCTCGTCTCGGCAGCCGCTCTCTCTTGCTCGTCCGCGGATGGGCGTCGCGAGATCTGGATGGAGGGCGACTTACTCAACTTAGACATTTCGAAAATAGGCTGCATGCTCAAAACAACATTTAGTCGCGCGGTGTGGGCGAACTCATTTTGTAAAAAATTGGGTAGACCGCCGCGCAGCGACCAATCTCGGCAAGGTGGCCGAGTGGTCTAAGGCGCCATGTTCAGGTCATGGTCCTAACGGGCGTGGGTTCGAATCCCACCCTTGTCATTTTTATGCGATTGGGCCTGCTGCTTTGCAGCCTGCGCTCTGCGGCCGTCGCCTAGAGGCTTCTCCAACAGACTTTGCTCCGTTAGCTCAGTTGGCTAGAGCATCGGCCTTATGTGCCGAAAGTCGTGGGTTCAAGCCCCACATGGAGCATCATGTCAGCGCGGCTTCATAACTATAACTCTAACGCAGATTTACGCCTACAATGTGCCTGAATCCGCAGGTTTTTAAGATTTGCGATCCTAACTCGCACTCAGACTGGCCAGATGCGAGCAGCATCAGCACCGTCGTTTTGCGCGTCATCTCGCACATTATTTCAAGCAGCGCGGTCGTGTGCTGTTTGCCTATGTTGCAGTAAGGCTCGTCGAGAATTACGAGGTCGCGCTCCAGCGCCGTCGCGCAGGCCAGCGTTAGAAGCTGTCGTTCGCCCGCGCTGAAACGAAATAAGTTTTCTGAGCAAGCGAGGCTGATCAGCCGCAGGAGGCACGCGTTGTGGAACAGGGACGCGACGCTGCGTAGCAGTTCGCGCGCTTTTTCGCGCGTGACTGAGTTGAATAAATCAAAGCTGAACGCATCTTCGCTTTGGAAGGACACGTACAACACGCGCCGGCGCACCGCCTCTGCGCTGCACAGACTCAGCGGAACGCCGTAGTGCAAAACTTCGCCGCTGGTGGGCTCCAAGATGCGCGTCATGATTTTGGCCAGACAAGACTTGCCTGAGCCGTTCGGCGCTTCAATGCAGACGTGCTGCCGTGAGTGCACCGTCAAGCTGAAGTTGCGCAGCAGGTTCTCCTCGTTGCGCACCGGAAAGCTGACGGCTTTAAGTTCGAAGATCTCAGCCGTCGGCCTCGGCTCGTAGATGCCCGGTAACGGCTCGTTCTCTGCGATTGCGTAGAGCAGCTGCAGCCGCCTGAGGCTGGTGAAAGCGTACTGCGTCGCTTTGCCTGCGCACTCGACCAGTCGCGCGCTCGATGCGACGAGGATGAACACGCCGCTGATCGACACCACCAAGTCCGCCGGACGCGCGGTCAGCTGCTGCTTGACGTAGATGACGATGAACACCGTCAGCAGAACTTTTTGCAACAGCTGCATGATGTAGGCCGCGGTCTCGCCGAAACGCACCGACGTGAACATCGTCGCGTCGCAGAGCTGCTTTGCCGATTCGTAGTCCGCCTTCGCGGTGTCATTGAGGCCCCACAACGAGATGCAGGCGATCTTCTGATGCATCACGCTGATCACGTGCGTCAAATTGCTATAGGCTTCTTTGCGCGCAATGAGCATCTTGCTGTGCACGTGGTTCAGCTCTACACTAACCGCGAAGCTTACAAGCAATAGGCTCCAGAACAACAGTTGCACGACGCGCGTCGTGTCTTTCAGCACGGTGTACGAACCAAACGACAGCGAGAACAGCGTCTTCAGCCAGACCGCCAGAAAGCAGTTCAGCAAGTCCGTCAGTGCGTTCCGGTCCGTCACGTAGCATGCAGCATACGCGGCGCTCATGCGCACCTTTGCCTCGTTGTACTTCGAGTGCAGCAGTGAGTGCAAGAAGCCGTCGATCATTGTCCACTCGATTTTCTGAATTGCTTCCGTAAAGACGAAGTCCGCGATGAACGGACAGGTGGCAGCGACCACGTCCAGAAACAGCATGCGCAAAAACTGCCGCCACACCTCTGCGAGCGAAGCGCTTTTATCGCTCAACTGCGCAAGCGCGCCCAAAAACTCCGCGCGGTACAGCGGCCCCAGCCCGGACAGCACGCCCGCCGCTATCCACGACGCGGTCGCTGTCGCAATGATGAGCCACACTCGCCGGCTCTGCGCTCGCATGACCTGCACCGAAGCCGCCAACACCCGTTCCACGCTCGCGGGGGCGAGTTGAAATACGCGCAACGCCTTTGTGTCTTTCTCACTGCATTTCGGTACCATACGCAATGCGATTCGTTTGAAGAGACAAAAAACTAGACTATAAGAATATACGGTCCCAGGAGGGCTTGAACCTCCGACTTTGTGGTTAACAGCCACACGCTCTACCGACTGAGCTATAGGACCTGCGTTGTCGCAGCAGGGCCGCGGCGGGAGGAGCGGCGGTGCGCAATCGGCCAACCCAACATGCGCCTTACCGACGCATCCCGTCGAGAATATGAATAGTCGCGTGGCTCAACTGTCCGTCCGGCGCTAACAAACTATCGGTGGCTAAATAACTAAAAATGCCGCGACCGTGGATCGAACACGGGACTTCAAGATCTTCAGTCTTGCGCTCTCCCTACTGAGCTATCACGGCTGAATGTCTCGCTGCAGGATAACACACACCGCTCACGCGCCACGGTCTGCGGGGAGCCTCAAGGCGCGCTAGGCAGCATACATCTCTTCGACCGCGACCCAGCTTATAGGTTTGTCTTTGATCTGCTCAAACACTTCGGTGAACGCGGCTTGCTGGTGCGGTTGGTCAACGAAAGCTTTGTTGAGTTTCTCGAACAGGCTATTCACCGACCTCGACCCGACGCTTTCCCGCTTCTGCTCCATTGTCGCCATGGTGTACGGCAGCAGTCCGGAGTTCAGCACCGCAGCCGCGGCCTGCACGTCGTCAAGCATGTCGTATAGCATTTTCGCGCACAGCGCGAGCAGTGCTGCGTCCTTAGTCTGGATCGCGTAGTAGCACACCAGAAAAATCGAGTGCTGCGCAATGCGCGGCAACAGCCGCGAGTCCGCGCGGTACAGGTACGTTAAGCTTTTCAGCAGTTTCAGCAAAAACTCCGTGTTGCCCGTCGCGTCCGCCAGGTTCAGCACGTACAACACGTGGTCCAGAATCGGAAAACGACGCGAGTACAGGTACAGGCACGTAGGGAGGTGTGCGAGCCGGCACAAGATGTAGCACATGTCCACGCTGTGCCGCAAGTTTTCCGATTCGCGCTTGAAACACTTTTTGTGCAGCTCGTCAATGATGTACACCACCATGTTAGAGGCCAACATCTTTTTCTGCACAATCTCCACTTTCAGCATGTTGATTAAGTAGTCGAGGATGCGCGAGCGGCAGTTCAGCGACAAGTAGTCCCAGTTCTGTAAGTAAAAGCCGAGCAGCACGAAGCTGTTGTCGTCTAGGTACTGCAGCTTGAACTGGTAGCGGGTTACTGCGAAAAATATCATCACGACCGTCGGGTGGAACAGAAAGCCTTCCGACGAGTTGAGCTGCACAATTTTCAGAATCTCGCTGACCGTGCCCGGCTTGGGACGTTTTGCGCCGTCGCGTCGCGTTTCCGTCAGCAAAAAACGCAGAAAGTCGATTTTCAGCGCAGAATTCATCTCTAACTGGCGCATGATATAGCGGTAAGGGTAAAGCAAATTTGTTTCACCCAGAGTCGGTAGCTGCGCGTCGCCTTCCTCGACGCGCCGTTCGAACCGCAGCAACGCCTCGACAGCGTCCTCTTTGATCACGTCGTACAAGAATCGCCAGCTGACGCGAATGCTGTAGTCGTCGAGCAGCGACGTGAGCAGCACTTGCGCGAAGCTGCTGTTGATGTAAATGCTCGAGTCTGCGCTCAAGTTGCGGAACGACAGAAAGAACTTGAACAGCTGTGACAACGCCTTGCGCAGCGGCACGTCTGACAGTTGGTCGCTCAGCGCGATGAACTGCGCAAACCCGAAAAACGCGTCTCCGTGCACCAAAGAGTTGGTCAGGTCGTACAAGTACTCGGCGAGGCGGACCGCGAAGCTGTTGATCATCAGTCGGTTTTGCGCCTGCTTGTTCACTTTTTCGGAGAGTATGCCCTGGTACAGCAAGTTGTTGTGCTGGAAGTACAGCGTCTCGAGCAACCGCGCGACGGCGACAGCCGCGTTCTCGGACATCAAGCACTGCTCAACGACCTCCATGTTCGGCGCGCGCGAGGACTCGAAAGACTGGAAGAACGCGGGCACGTCCGAGTGCAGCTTGGCGTCTTTGGCGCGCGCGAAGTAGCTCTTCACTAACATCTTCAGCAGCCGCACGTACGTGTAGTAGGCAACGGGCACGCGGTTGAGCGAGCGACGCAGAAAGCGCATCACGGGTGGCGGAAACGCGAGCGCGTCCGCGCCCGCTTCGAGCAGCGCGTCCCGCAGCGGTGAGCGCAGTCGCGGATAGCCGGCTGTTGAGTAAATGTTGACGAGTAGCTGCGTGTAGCAGTCGAACGCGTCGGAGTCGTAGGCGCTGACCGCGTCGGGGGGCAGGCGCAGCGAGAAAGTGAGGTAGTGCTCGCGCAGCATCTCGATCGCGATGTTGTAGCGTCGCGCGATCAGCACGATCACGTTGTACTCTTTGGCGCAGAAAACGGTGATGTGCGCCTCCCAGCTGCTCTCGTCGTCGTACATGTTTTGGCGCTTGAACACCTTTTCCGAGTACAGCTCGATGGCGCTCGAGTACAGTTCGCAGAGCTGCTTCGTCACCACCGTCGTGTAGCAGTCGAAAGAAGTGCCGGGGTTCCGCTCGACGGCGATTTGCAGCAGCAGACGCCGCCCGGGGCACCACGCCTCGAAAAAGCGCGCGACGTTCAACACGAGCGTGCGCTGCTCGAAGAGCTCGGGCACGAACACGTAGTACCCGCTGATAAACGCGCGGTACGCGCCCGCGTCCGGTTTGTACACCAACGCACTGCGTACGCCTAACTCGCGCTTCACGAGCGCCGTGACCAAATGTGCCGCGAACTCGAAGTGCGCGACGCAGTACACGTAGTACGCGCTTTTCAGCGCTTGCACGAACTCGTACGCTTCGTCGATGCGAAACGTGTAGAGCGGGTCATCGCCGAAGCGGATCGACTCGTACTCATTGCCGAGCAGGCAAACGCTGCCGATGCTCCTGAAGCGCAGCGGCGGGAGCTGCGAGGCGCTGCTGCGCGCGCGGAAGACTTACGGACGCAGCGAGTTATCAGCGAACCGCAGCGAGCTCATCGTGATCAGCACCCAGACGGGCGTCAGGCGGTTCGCAATGTGCTCCGCGGCGGCGAAGTGCAGCACTTTCTTTTTGAAAGTCTGCGACA